CTCTTCCAATCCCTCCGACGACTCCCCCTCCGATTCGCCCTCCTCCTCCGATCCCTCCGACGATTCCTCCTCCTCCGATTCCTCCTCCTCTTCCGATCCCTCCGACATCGCCTTAAGCTGGTGATGGACTATAACCCTATCGCAAGCGTCAGGATCCATGAAATCGACCACCGGCTGTTCGGGTACAGATCCAGATGTGTTGGCGTATAGGGATACGGAGGAGTAATTCTCCCACAACTTATCATTTAGTACAAAATGATTACTAAATTTTAATTTTACATGTGTTAATAAAATACGTTTGGACTAATAACGAAGTGGTCATTCCATTCACTTTCACTCAAAAATTCGTTAATTGAATCCAATCAACATGCCACGTTAACAAAAACAATAATAATAAACAATTCAATAAATCAACCAACTAAGAAGATAAGAATTAAGAACCAACTAAGAAAACTAGGGAAAATAAAATGATTTTAATTCACAATTCTTAGATCTGAATTTCTGGGTCTACTTTAAAAGGAAGGTCCTAGGGATGGGGTGGGAATCGGTACGGTATCGGTATCCTAATACCAAATACCGAAATCCTGAATACCGAATTATCCCCTAAAGTCAATCCCAATCTCAATCCCTAAATAATTTCGGTATCCAATCCCAATCGGTACTTCGGTATCCCAATCGGTATTATCGAATACAAAATTAATTTCCTTTGCAATTAATAATTAAATATATAATTTGATTTTTTGTTTAATTTAGTGGGAAAAGACTTAGCAAAGAGCTTTGAATTAGGATATTATTAAGGAGAATGGAGGAGAGGAGACATCTCAAGTTCTTGTCATTGGTAATCGTTAATTTGACAAATTGGAGGTAGAGAGACGACTATTAATAGTGATGAAATGATCTAAGTGTGATTAAATGACACTCTTGGTGGTTGAGGGTCGTGTAGTAGTGAATGAGAGAGATGAAATGATCTAAGTGTGATTAAATGACACTCTTGGTGGTTGAGGGTCGTGTAGTAGTGAATGAGAGAGTCTAGTTGAGAGAATAAAATACACACTAGCTTATATTTCGCTATTGATCGGTATTTCAGTATATGTCGAGCCCAATCCCATAATCCCTAATACCGAATAACAATTGAAATTCAATCCCAATCCCAATCCCAAGAAATAATACGTGTATTCGGTAATACCAAATATAGACAAATTCGGTACAGTATTCGGTATATCCCTAATACTGGTACCAAACTTCCAGCCCTAGGGATGGCAATGGGTCGGGTTTTGTCAAACCCAAACCCATGGGTTTATCCATCAAGAAAACCCGGGGTAAAACCCAATGGGTTTGGAAAACTCAAATCCAACCCAACCCAACCCGCTGGGTATCAGGGGACTCATGGGTACCCATGGGTTTTTGTGGTAAAAAATTTACAATGACAAGTTCCTATCAAAATAAAAGTCAAACATTAATTTCTTCATAGAAATTATCCATACATGAAACACGACTCTAGACAATTTAAACAAATTACAAATTATCCATATAAATTATAAATCAAATTGGGGGAAATTAGAATTATGGTATGATTTGGAGAGTAGGGGACGGAGTAAGTGTGAATGGCTACCCATGGGTCGGGTATCCCTAAACCCAAACCCAACCCAACTCGGTGAAAGTCGGGTTTAAGCCCAAATCCGACCCAAAACCCGTCAATACAGGTTTTACCTGCATTGATCGGGTAGGGTCGGGTAGGGTATCCGTGGGTTCGGGTTTTGTTGCCATCCCTAGAAGGTCCAGATGTAATTATTCATGGGTGAGTAACCAATGGTTACTGACCTAATCTTGGACCGATTTAGGGTTCTAGCTCTCTATATAAGCAGGACGAGGAAACAAATTTCTAAACACAGCAATAATCAAAAAAAATTCCTAAACTAAAGCACTTGTATTTTCCCCCCAAAATACCTAAGTTTGAGTTGGTTCGAGTTAGAGTGACTCGAACCACCAATGGGATCAATCCAAACTGAGTCAGACTAACTCGATCCAGATTTAGTCAGACTGACTCGATCCACTACGTTGAAATTTCCAATGACCTTAACTTTGTGCTCGGTTATTCGATCATAGTGGAATTTTTTTTATTCCGCATAATTTTTCTAGGACTACAAGTTATTTTATAGAAATATTTTCAGAATATAAGTGAAAATATAAAATTAAAGCTAAATTTATTCCCAAAATCCCTTATATCCAAATGTATAATTAATCAAACTTGATTTGAATCATAAAAAGTTGGTTTGGACAATATCAAATATTGGGTCCACTTTGCCATCACTAGAAGTTGTTGCACTCCGTTGTCTTGCAGGAATGAAGCCAACCACGTCAACCATCATCGGCTGAACAAGTGTTGTCCCAGCACTTTGAAACATCAACGCCTGTTATCTTCCGATCAGAGCTCACAACATCAATCAAGTATACTGATCATAGTTGTCTTCGTGTAGTTCAAAGAGAGCGGGGCCAGACCTGTAGCTTTGGACTCTTTCTCCCTCTTCATCGGGGCATTTACTTTACCACCTCTGGCTTTTTCCTCGAGCTCAAATACTTGTCTATCTTCGTTGTCCAAGGTGGACATCAACTCTTTCTTTATCCTTGTGCGCTTCTCAGTAAGATCGTCGGAAGGCCGTAACAAATCCACATACTCGTCTAAAAAGAGAGAAGTATCTTTCATTAGGAAACAATCTGTTCAACTTTTAAGGAAAAATATGATCACATTGGATTCAGCAAATAAACGATCAAATAAGCAAAGCTAAATATTTTGATGATCAGAAGATCAATGAGACATGATTAACAAGGATTGCGAAAGTACTTTGCTGTAAAAACCAGCAGGGCCAAAGATGTATATGCACATACGTAGCCGGTATGTATCCTACATAATGGACAATGTAACCAAACTGTTTCAACACAAACTCTTGCATAAGGGTATTAATGACCTGAATTTTTATTTAACGTTCTAACTTTTTAAATTTTTCGTCCTAAACCTACTGAACTTCTATTTAACGCCTTAACTTTTTAAATTTTTCGTCATAAACCTACCAAAGAAACAATTTTGCCCACAACCTAATAAATCATAATTTTTATCGAATTTTTCGTCAGATGAAAGGAAGGAAGAACTTTGCGGCGGCAACCGACTAATTTAAAGGAAAAGTGATTCGAGTGGCAAACGTATAATATGAGTGACCAAACTTACAATTCACCCTACCCACTATTTATTAGTTAAACCTTTCATAAATTTTAAAATATTAGCCAAATCTTTGGGATTATAAAATATGAGTCACAAATTTTATAACGTATAAAATTATAATCATCTTTTATCAAAATTAACGTTATCCTTAATTAACAGAATTAGGCATAAACTAATCGTCAATCCAAAACTAAGGTTCTAACGGGAGGGGTTATGGTGTATACTTAATCTTAGTAGCCACGGTGGTTAATACTAGGGGATAAGAAGGGTATTTTGCATCCTTCCTAATATCAACAACCATTCTAATAACGCAATCAATTAGGGAAAGAGGAGAGATAACATGAACTTTAGTAACTCAAAACCTTCGAGACACATATCACCTACTGCATTGTATCATTTTGCTTGGGTGCTTGCTGTGTTGTCAAACTCCTTTGCTGTTGCTGCTGCATTTACACCAATAGGGGAGTTAAGAACCCATGAATGCTTCCTTTTGACACAAACAAGAGGACTTACTTTTAAATCGTGCATTAAAGATGATTGGAGGAAACATCTTTGTTGCAGTTGATATACTGGAGACCATAACAAAAGCAACGTATAACATCAAAACCAACCATCTGAACTATTAGCATTGTTGCTTTACTCTTTTTTTCGTGGTTGAGTCTCCTTCAAACAATTTAGTTTGATTATAGAAAATTTTGCTTCTGCAGTCCTGTCTTGCCACCAACGCGTTCAGTAGATGGAGATGGCAGAGGCGAAGGCTATTTTTGTGTTGTTGTTGCTGGTTTAGGGATCGGTTTGTGAAGAAGAGGGAGAAGAGAGGGGGAAAGGGAAATGCAGGAGAGGGGGATAACTCTTTTCTCCGACAAAAATGGAGTGAAGAAAGGAATTATGATCAGTAAGGATATGGTTATCTTACCTAACGGTCTCTATTTTGTTTGAATTGAGCTTGGGAGGCAGTGATAAGGACGAGCTGCAACCAATTCATAGTGATAAGAGTGCTATGAACTGTGATCATGTCTTATTTCAAGTTAGAAGGTAGTTTCAGTATAAGGATGATTTAATTTGACAAGTTGTTTCGTCCATGATTCTTGATAGTTTCAGTGCCATTCTAGCCATTGTTTAGTCTGTAATTTTTGAGAATTGATGTGCGAGTAATGACTTTCACTTAGCTTCAACTATTATGTGTGTATTTATTGGCATGTGATAGAATTCACTTTTCCTTTTCTTTGAATTCAGTTTCATACTCTAATTGTATCATTTGTACATAGGCAAATCATGCTCGAGATGACAACTCGCTGATATGGCTGGTGCAAGGAATGAAGCCATCATTAGAATTCAGACCGACAACGGGGAGGGATGCCCAGGACTAATTCAATGATGATTGATGATGGTACAATAAAAACTGCAATCTTCATCAGCACCAATTTCTAGGCCTAAGTAAAGTTATTCAACCCAGAACTCTGCTTAGCGCTAAAAATTGCCCTCACCCAACCTTGATCCTGTTTGACCCACTTCTGAAGAGTCAAGATATATGACTAATCCTCTCCGTTCGTATTTTCTTATTAACTCTTTCTGACCCTTTAGGTTGGGGCGGGTCGGGAAGAATCGGATTAGTGGGTCGGTCCTAATCAAGTGGAATCTCAATCCCTTCATTCTCACTTGCTTTCTCTCTCATTCCACAAGTGGGTAACATACACTAATCCGGCCAACGGGCCGGGTAATAAGCTAGTTATATGGAGTTTTGATCACAGTAGGGTTTGTTATATATGCTCTAATAAATAAAAGACGATCGTCCCTTCAGGATATTCCCAAAAACAAATCCCTAAACAGATAGAGTTAGCGAATCGTGATTCGTGATCAGTACGGTCGCTCGCTTGTGCGATCTTCCATCCACTGGTCGTCAATCGATCCGATGCCGTCGTCTTCCAAGTCCACCGCCAGGAAGAAAAAAAATTACCAGGATGATGACGACGATGGAGTTCGGTTGCAGTACTACGCCGGCAGACGGTGCAAATGCTGCCTAGAGCTTAACAGCAGGGAGATCAAGCCACAGCCCGACGACGACGACTTTATAACGCCCTCCGACGATTTTAGGGGCGATGAATTTCTGAAGCTTCACGTCGTCCACTACCGCCGGAAGATTTGGGAGACCGGGGTATACGTAACGTAAACTAGTTTCTTTTTTGTTTTTTAATTTGAAATCAATTCTCAATTAGTTCGTTGTTGATCAATTGAGTAATATTGTTCTTATCGATCGAGCAGTGTTGGGACATTGATTGCCCGCCGAGATACGGCGGCATCGGCGGACAAGCTTACCCTGGAAAGCATCTCTACGGCGACGATATGAAGACGGACGAGCTGCTTAACGACATGGCTCAACACGTCGTCGATACATATAACAAGGAGAAGGTAATTAAGCTTACCAATAGAGTTCACGATTAACAATTGTTGATTTGAACTGAACTAATTAACTCGTTGATTTGGGGCTCTGACTAGTGTTTAAAGCACACCTATGCAGTGCCTAAGCGGTTTAGTGAAATAGTATTGATTTGATCTGAACTAGCTCATTGATTTGAGGTTCTGACTAGTGTTTAGCACACCTATATATAATCATTTTAGTGAAATAGCTATTTACAATAATAATCACAGTTTTGTATAAAAAAATTTCTAGTTCCATTTCGAATGATTAGTATTCTTCAACAACAGGCAAAATACGTCATGATTTTCAAGAATCATAAGTTTATAGAAGTCGTGGCTTTGTGGATGGTTTGTAGTGGACAATGGTGAAGATCAGGACAAATGGTCGAGTTGAGTATAGGGTAGCAGAAGATGTCCTCGTTTTGGAAATTTACTACAAAAGTTATATATTTGTTCTGTCAACACATGCACTTAACCATGCGTCTAATTCACTTCGATTAATCACGCCTTTGTCGCCTCACGTTGATTAATCGTGTATAGCTCCACCTAAACGTTATGAATGTTTAATTATCTACGTAGAGACCAGACGAGTCGTTTTGTCACTACCTAATGCCTAATGGTCTACACTCTACATAGAGGCTAGACAAGGCGTTTTGTCTATGACGGCGTAGAATTACGCATTCTTTAATCCTGATAGATAGTAGTAGTATCGTGACTGACTGGTTTTTCTTATGAATTGTTCTTTGTTGCAAATGGTTAATTAATTCATGCAGGGCGGTAGGCTGGTGTTGGGTGGAGTGCGGAACGTATCCGCGGAGGGCTGTAATTGGAGGAACTTCTACATAACTTTTAGCTGCCGCGATGGTAGAGGTGCGCGTAAAAAGACGAAGAGGCGTTTGAAGACATACAGAGCCGCCGTTTCCTGTCGCATTTGGAGCTTCGGAAAGGAGAAACAAATTTTGGTCTTCAGGGACCCTAGTGGGAAAGGTACGTACATAAACAGATGCCTAACCAATTAATTGTTCATTAGCACTCAAGTACTTAATTTTTTTGTTGTTGAACATTGTTCTTAATTTGTCACCTAAAAATGGTGGGACTTGGTTGTCGTTCTCCTTTACAGATTTGCTGCCGCCGGATCCCTTCTACGGGTTCTTCACTACGCCTTTCCGTCCTCGTCCTGAGTTAGCTGATCGCGAAGAGGAAGCCGGAGGAGTTGTAGTTGGGAACTCAGATGATGATGAAGGTGGCGTTGAGGAGGAGTTGTAGGTGGGAACTTAGATTGCAGACAGTTCGTGAATGTCATTTTGGTTATGGTTTTTCGTTTCTCTGACGGTAATAAATATCTAACCTCTCATCCGATTCTCCACAAGTCTGATTCTCTCCCATCACCGATAGTTAGTCTTCCTAGTCAAACTATTGTAATGGGAGATGAAGCTGGTGTGATGCAGTGGAAGAGGGTGGAGTGAGCGATTGAGCTTTTTTGCTTGTCCGTGTTTATTGGATTACCGATCAGGATTGACTTTGACTTGTCGGATTTAATAAGAAGTATGCTTATTATTTGTGGTATTAGTGGTAGTTAGTTGAAATTTAGTATTTCATCAGGCAGCCAGAGTTGAGTAATGAGCGTATTTATTGAGTGTTTTTTATATTGATGTTAGGAACGAGTAGAAATTTATTTACCCGAATGTGTGTAGCTATATGATTTAAACTTATTATTTCGTATAAAATTATTTACATCTTTTCTAACATTAAGTCACAGAATTTGAGGGACGTGAGTTGACACTCCTACTTTAGAGAACAATAGCTTGGAAGAATTCGAAAAACATTCACGAATTAATATATGCGACTGAAAAACAATGAGCAGTTGTTTCACCAAAGACATGCATACATATGGTCGGTGAGAGTAAGGACGGAAAATAATTGACAAAAATGCAATCTCTCTCTGTAGGGTTCAGACTAGCTGACAAATTATTTTGTTAGTCACTAGCGAACAATCAAGACTTTAGAATTCGGGCTTTTTTTATGTACCGTGAACTCAGCCGGATTAAGAGTTCAAGACTAGAGTGGAAGAGATATATTTGATGAGATTATTAAGGTCGTAACTGACCTAGAGATTGTTTATGTTGGTGCAAGAACTTTTTGTATTAGGATCTTGGAATATTGCAGAGGATAATGCTTTTGATGGAAGAGAACTAACGGTTGGCGGTTGATGGCTATAAAATTTTTGGAAGATGATGAGAAATAGTAAGACCATAGAGTGGAGTACTAGAATGCTATTTGAGGAAACTTAGGGGTTGAGGCGGGAGGGGTACACGTGTACTTTACTTTTTCTTTTATAAATAAAACTGAAAATACAAAGCAAATTGGGATAGAAATTCAAGTGTTATTTTGTATTAGGGATTACGAGATTGAGATGGGTAAATACTAAGGGTGAACAATGGGTTGGTCCACACCGGAACGAATCAAGTTTGGACCGGACCACACCGAATAAAATATAATATGGTTCGGTCCTTGGTCCCATGAATTTTATAAATACTGAAGAAAAATGGACCGAATTTACATTTGGACCGGACCAATGCGGACAAACGGACCGAATCACTATTGGTCCGATCCTTGGTCCTAAGTTATCTTTCATTATTGGACCGCGATTCTCTGAATTTGGTCCGATTCGGTCTGAACCAGACTGATGCCCACCCCTAGTAAATACTGATCAATACCGAAATATAAGGTAGTGTGTATTTTATCCCTCTCAACTATACTCTCTCACTCACTACCACCATACGTCCATGCCTTCAATCACCAAGATTGGCGATGGTCACTTGATTATACATAACTCATTCTCTCACTATTTAACAACTTATACCAAGCTCATTTTGTTATTTGTAGTATGTATATGGTTGCTAGTAGCCCCTTGTTCCAGTTTGCACCTTAAGTTTGTTAATGTATTTCTTAGGCACCGCATTTTTCTAGTGTATGGTTGTGATTTTTTCCCATTTGTTTTGGACGAGAGTTAGCACCACTCATTGTTTTTATATATTTTGAGAATGGTTCGTGGAGCTAGTATTTGCATTTGTATATTTATTTTATAATTTTGAGGGAAATTAACTTGGTATTTGGTATATACCGATACCGAACGACATTTTAGGAATTGAGATTGGGATTGACATTGAATTTAGGGCGCTATTTGATACTCGATATTTTATATTGAGATACCAACAAGGTCTCGATTTCCAGCTCTAATCATGTAGCTTTGGATTTTTTTTTTTTTTTTTTTTTTTTTGTCATTAGATCAAGAGGCTAATGTATGACCGGAGGACAAATTTAGAATATGACAACTCACAGAATGGACCACCCTATTCTGATTCCTACCAACAAACTGAACCATGCAACCAGGGTGAGCTGCTAATAAGTCACAAATTTCTTTCAAGTGGAACAAACCTGGCCTTTGATATGCCTTTCAGTGAGCCTGCTTCCTGAATCCTGACCCAAAAGCCCATATTCTTGTTAGCAAACGGTGACCCACCAACTAAAACCCTTAACAGCACTAGAGCAAGTAGCTAGCCCAAGAACAAAGTCATTCATAGGCTTCATCCACACATACAAGGATGAGGTAAAATATCATATGATGATCGATGAGCAAACATAGTTAACATGTGTTTCTACTTCAACATTCCACATGAATATCCCTCTGGAATCCTACTGAAAAACGTAAGACAGACAATATAGTAGGCTTCAACTCCATCGTTCCACAAAAAACCTAGTTAAACTAAACTTATCCTCTGGAAATTCCTACTGACAAACAACTCCATCTTCAGCATCTTAGTTCCCAACTACCACTCCTCCGGATTCCTTCTCGAGATCCTCCTTAACACCACCTTCAGCATCTGAGTTACTACCTACCACTCCTCCCAATTCCTTCTCGAGATCCTCCTTAACACCACCTTCAGCATCTGAGTTCCTACCTACTACTCCTCCGGATTCCTTCTCGCGAGCCTTCCTATCAGTTAATTCAGGACGAGGACGGCGAGGTGTTGTGAAAAACCCGTAGAAGGGATCCGGCGGCAGCAAATCTGTAAGGAAAAAGACAACGTCCACCATTAGGTGACAAATTAAGAACAATGTCATTTCCATAATCCTCAGGCAACCATGGAAAGAGCAGCAACAACAACAAGGATGCACTCAGGAAACCAGAACAAGTTGGTCTAGTACATACAATGATGATCGACCTTGTTCAACAAAAACCCAGGTCAACCACGATATACCCCTTCTTAAGACCGACTCACAACACAGCCAACCTTGAAAAACCTGCAAAGCTTATGAAAAAAAGACTAGAATCCCACCATGTTTGATTAACTAAAGTACTAAACTAGATGTGAAACTAAATGATTATAACGAACACAAAGGTAAATGAGAGGACAATGCCGTATCTATGTATGCTCTACTCAGCTGTGTCAGACCATGATTCTAATTTGCATCAGGATATCAATTAAAGACACTATGTATATAGGGCAGTTCATTGAGTAGGAAATCAAAACAGTCAAGGCCAAAACCACGGGAAGAGAAGAGGGATGGAAACTCAAATTTTAACAACACGCATGAGCATAACCAAGCCAACTCTTGGCCAAAGCATTTGATCAACCAATTTTAGATATTCAACATAAAGATTTCGGTATTCAACTGAACAACACATTGCTATACATTTACTATCCAACATCAAACAATGATCATAAAACTGCATATCTAATCTCGATCTGCAGGTACATACTATCATGTTTCAAAAAAGCAAGCAAGCAGTAACATCCACAACACCACATACTGAACGGTAGCAGAACAGGGGCAGTTAGCTAATATAATCGAAGTACTTGAGTGCTAATGATCAATTAATTAGGCATCTGTATGAACGAACCTTTCCCCCAGTTGTCCCTGAAGACCAAAATTATCTTCTCCTTTTCGTCGCTCCAAATGCGACAGGAAACGGCGGCTCTATAAGTCTTGAAACGCCTCTTAGTCTTTTTACACGCACCAATTCCATCACGGCAGCCAAAAGTTATGTAGAAGTTCCTCCAATTACAACCCTCTGCGGATACGTTCCGCACTCCACCGAAGACCAACTTACCACCCTGCAGGAAACCATTGGCAACAAGAACAATTTATAAGGAAGACCAGTCAGTCACAATAGTACTACTATACATACATACGAATGAATTTCCCTCCAGTTTTGGAATCAGTAACATCCTCCGGCTAATTGTTTCAGACCTACTAATGGGCATTGTACATGAATGAAGTGCAGCAGCGTTGAATTAAATAGATAAGAACAGCGATTAAGGTGCAGCAAGCTGGTAAGACTACGGTAGACAAACAGTTGCTTAGTTCTCAGCATGCATATGGGATTTCAGGAGAACTGACTAGCTAGTTCAGTTCAAATCAATGTTGTGTAAGGATTACTAATCGTGAACTATGTGGTAAGCTTACCTTCTCCTTGTTATATGTATCGACGACGTATTTAGCCATGTCGTTGAGCAGCTCGTCCGACTTCATATCGTCTCCGTACAGATGCTTTCCAGGGTAAGCTTGTCCACCGATGCCGCCGTACCTTGGTGGGCAATCAATGTCCCAACACTGCTCGGTAGATCAATCGACAAGAACAATACTCAATTGATGAAGGAACGAACTAATTGAGAATTGATTTCAAATTGAAAAACTAGTTTACGTTACGTACCCCGGTCTCCCAAATCTTCCTCCGGTAGTGGATGACGTGAAGCTTTAGAAAGTCATCGCCCCCAAAATCGTCGCTGGCCGTTACAAACTCGTCGTCGTCGGGCCGTGGCTTGATCTCCTTGCTGTTAAGCTCTACGCAGCATTTGCATCGTCTGTCGGCGTAGTACCGCAACCGAGATTCATCTTCATCATGGTCATTTTTTTTCTTCCTCGCGGTGGAATTGGAAGACAACGGCATCGGAGCGATTGACGACCGATGGATGGAAGAACACACAAGCGATCGTACAGATCACGATTCGCCAACTCGATCCTTTTTTAGGGTTTGTTTTCTGGAATAGTCTGAAGGGACGATCGCTTTTTATTAGCGATGGCAATGCGGTGGATCGGGGTCAGGCGGTATTTCAAAATTTATATCCTCCGCGTCCCGTATTAAGCGAAAGTCAGATCAGATTATACCCACTCGGATACGCGGCTGGATTGGATAGATTCATTTTTATAGTTTTTAAAAAACAAATATATATATATATAGTTAACTTTTTATAAAAAAAAGTACATAAAAAATAAATAAATGAGAAATATAGTAGACGAAATAACTGAGTTTAGATAGTTGGTAAATAGAGTCTCGAAATTTTTTTGAAAATGAAAATATAATTTTAGAAACGTCAGAAGGGATAGTAAAATATTTATGTAAATCAAAATGGATCAAGAACGGGGCAGGACAGGTAGAAACCAATAAACATATCCACCACCACACGCTACTGTGGATCTGGACCATCTGGTTATCCAACCCAAACAGATTGTGAAAGAATGGGTTGCGCGAGTCATGTAAAATATTGCCATCACTACCT